GGGCAGAGAGAGAGGGAGACACAGAATCGGAAACAGGCTCCAGGCTCTGAGCCATCAGCCCAGAGCCTGACGCGGGGCTCGAACTCACAGACCGCGAGATCGTGACCTGGCTGAAGTCGGACGCTCAACCGACTGCGCCACCCAGGCGCCCCTGATTTGGCATTTTTAACACTGCAGCTAACGATCATAAAAATAAAGCCATTTAGGACCATGAAAAGCTCTGCAGGAGTTACGTTATAAACTATAGCACTCAGTTGAGAAAGACTAGCTTTTAAGCAGTGTATTTAGATATTTTGGCATGTTATTAGACACGTACTTGAGCCCATTCTCCATTTCACCTCTGTATTTTCAATTCAAAGAAGGATTTTTATTCTTTGTGGAAACAAATGATATCAAAATCACAAGGCATCTTCTCTGCTTATTTCCATCTAAGGTTGTATAAACACCGTATTTATGATTTCATACATATTTTTTATCCTTACTGGGCTATGTTGGTTTCTAAGAACAAATAACAGAGTATTCTAGATCTTTTCCGGGGATTCAGTATTAGCCTTCCTGTAACCCAGAACACTCAGCTCTCCACCTGACATCAAGTTGATCAAATCCCCCAGTTTCATACAGAAACACACACATTAAAGGACTACTGTGTGCATTGTATGTGACATGAGAATAATAAGACAATGACTCTTCAGAGAACTCATGGTCTAGAGAAGAGAGACGTATAATATGCCATAAAAATATAAGAAAAAATATTTTAATTTTTTTAAATGTTTATTTTTTGAGAGAGAGAAAGAGAGACAGAGAGAGGGAATAGTGGGGAGGGGCAAAGAGAGAGGGGGACAGAGGATCCCAACCAGGCTCTGTGCTGACAGCACAGAGCCGGATGTGGGGCTGAAACTCATGAACCTGTGAGAACAGAAGTCTGACCCTTAACCGACTGAGCCACCCAGGTCCCCCCACTTAAAAAAAAATTTTTTTTTTTGAGAGAGAGAGAGAGAGAGAGAGAGAGAATGAGTGGGGGAGGAATTTTATTATTTATTTATTTATTTATTTATTTATTTATAAGTAGGCTCCATGCCCAACATGGGGCTTGAACCTATGGCCCTCAGATGAAGAGTTGCATGCAACACTATTGAGCCAGCCAGGATCCCCAAGGAAAAAAATTTTTTTAATTCATTCCTGGGGTGCCTGGGTGGCTCAGTTGGTTAAGCATCCAACTTTGGCTCAGGTCATGATCTCACAGCTTGTAGGTTTGAGCCCTGTGTGGGGCTCTGTGCTGACAGTTCAGAGCCTGGATCCTGCTTGGGATTCTGTGTCTCCTCTCTCTGCCCCTCCCCCACTAGCACTCTGTCTCTGTCTGTGTCTCAAAACTAAACATTAAAAAAAATTTAAAAAATCAATTTTTGAATTTTATCTTTTACACTTCTAGACAAAGAAAGGAGGCTTCAGACTCTTTGCTTCCTTACCTCCCACCCCCATCAAAAAACCCCTGCATCTTCTCATACTCTGTCTTCTCTCAGTAAATGGCATCCAGGCAGATTTTCAGGCCCCAAACTTCTATTACTCTTAATGTCCACGTCTATACTCTTCTTGCTGCTCTAAATCCAACCTATCAGTAGGTTCCGCCAGCTCTAACTCTGACATGCACTGAGCAGCTGACTGGTGTCCGTTCTGATGGCTGCTGCACTAATTTAAGCACTGCCGTTTCTCACTTGGACTCCTACAAATACCTCCCGAATGGACTCTGCTTTCCTTTCTCCCATTTTTGCTCCATGACAATTTATCTTCACAGAGCAGACAGAAGCTCTTTTAAAAGTGACATCAGGGGCACCTGGGTGGCTCAGTTGGTTAAGTGTCAGACTCTTGATCTCAGTGCAGGTCTGGATCTCACAGTGGTGAGTTCAAGCTCCAGCACTAGGCATGAAGACTGCTAACAACAACAACAAAAAAAAAGCACATCAGCTTCTGTTTCAGTCATAGTGGAAACAGGGCCTGGATTCACCTTCTCCCATAACAAGAAACTGGACAAAATGTATTTAATACTTGCTTTCAGGCATTAGACAACTAGCAGCCCAGTCTTGTCAGCTCTGAGAGAGAGGAAACAATCAGGTGAACCCTGTGATTGTCCCAGGTTACCTGTAGTAGTTTCTAGGCTTCGTGCAGACAAATCCCAGAGGTCTTACTGAACTGAACAGAGATGGCAGTTTGGGAAGGCCAAAGCAGTGAGAACTTGTGCAGCACCAGTTCTTGAAAAGACTTTACTTTCCATATCAAATGACCTTCGTCGCTGTGTTGTCAGTCAGCTTTCAGTTTCAGTTCCCTTTATTTATCAATCATTACATCATTACCAAAGCATCTTAATTACTCCAGCTTTAAACAGTCCTACGATGAGGGGGCTTATGGCTTCCAGTTTTGTTCTTTCTTCAAGACAGTTACTCTAGGTCTTTTCTACTTCCAGAAAATGTTTAGAATCAGCTTGTCTATTTCTAGAAAAAAAAAGCCTGTTAGGATTTTTATTGGAATTGTGTTGAATTTAAAGATCACTTTGGGGGGTGCCTGGGTGGCTTAGTCAGTTGAGTGTCTGACTTTGGCTCAGGTCATGAGTTTGGTTCATGGGTTCAAGCCCCACCGTGGGCTTTGCACTGACAGCAGGAGCCTGCTTCAGATTCTGTGTCTCCCTCGCTCTCTGCCCTCTCCCACTTGTGCACGTGCAAGCTCTCTCTCTCAAAAATAAATAAACATTAAAAAAAATAAAGATCATTTTGGAAATACTATTAATCTAATTATACTGTATCTTCTATTCCATGATCATGATATAACTTTCCATTTATTTAGATTTTCTTTAATATTTCTTATCAATATTTTGTATTTGTCACTGTAGAAGTCTTACACAATTTTTGTAAATTTAATTTTAAGTATTTTATTTTTTTTAATGTTTATTTATTTTTGCGAGAGAGAGAGAGAGCACAAGCAGGGGAGGGTCAGAGAGAGAAGGAGACACAGAACTCGAAGCAGGCTCCAGGCTCTGAGCTATCAGCACAGAGCCTGATGCAGGGCTCAAACTCACTAACTGCGAGTTCATGACCTGAGCCAAAGTCAGACATTCAACCAACTAAGACACCCAGGTGCCCCAGTAGTTTTTTTTTTTTTTTTTAATGTTTATTTTTGAGAGAAAGTATGTGCACATGGGGAAGAGAGCAGGGGGAGGGGCAGAGAGAGAGGGAAACAGAGGATCCAAAGCAGGCTCTGCACTGACAGCAGAGAGCCCCATGTGGGGCTTGAACTCACAAACCTGGAGATCAGGACCTGAGCTGAAGTTGCACCCTCAATCGACTGAGCCACCCAGGCGCCCCTTTAGCAGTTTATTTTTGATGCTATTGTAAATGGTGTTTTAAAATGTCATCTTCTGATTATTTGCTGGTAAACAGACTATGACTGATTTTTGTATATATTTAAAAAAATTTTTTAATGTTTATTCATTTTTGAGAGACAGAGAGAAAGAAACAGAGCATGAGTAGGGGAGGGGTAGAGAGAGAGGGAGACACAAAATCTGAAGCAGGCTCCAGGCTCTGAGCTGTCAGCACAGAGCCCGACATGGGGCTCGAACTCACAAACTGTGAAATCATGACCTGAGCCAAAGCCAGACGCTTAACTGACTGAGCCATCCAGGCACCCCGATTTTTGTATATTAAACTTCTATTTTATGACCTTTAAAATTCACATATTAAACCTACTAGTTCTTTGTACATTCATTTTGATGTTTCTGTATAAACCATCATATCATTTGTAAATAAACACAGTTTTACGTTTTCCTTTCTATTCTAATTCCATTGTGGCCAGGGAACATACTCTGTAAAATTTTAATATTTTTGAAATTTCATGAGACTTGTTTTATGGTTTATCATTTGGCCATGTCCAAGAATTTTCCAGATGTACTTTAAAAATGTTTTTCCATTGTCTTCTGGAATCTATTGTTTCTCATGAAATATCATTTCCATGATGAAATACCATCATATATCATTGCTCCTCTGTACGAAATGTTTTTCTCTGGATACTTCCAATATCTCTTTATTTTAGTTTTTGGTTGTTGGACTGCGATATACTTAGTTGTGCTTTTCTTGTATCTATCTTGCCTGGAATGTGTTGAGCTTCTTTGGTAGGTAAGTAAATTATTTCCACAAATTTGTGGAAATTTCAGCTATTTTTTTCTCTCGCTCTTTTTTTGGTTCCATTGTCTTTCTCTTCTCATTCTGAGACTCAATTTGCACATCTGTTAGATCACTTAAAATGTCCCATTATTTGTTCATTATTTTTAATGTTCATTTGTTGTGTTCATTATTTATAATCTTGTATCCCTTCCATTTTCAGAATGTATAATTTCTTTTTTTATTTTTTATTTTTAAAAATTCATTTTATTTATTTTGAGAGAGAGAGAGAGTGTGTGTGTGTGTGCGTGCACAAGCTGGGGAGGAGCAGAGAGAAGGAGAGAGAGAATCCAAGAAGGCTCTGAGCTGTTAGTGGTCTCTTGAACTATGAGATCATGACCTGAGCTGAGATCAAGAGTCAGACGCTCAACTGACTAAGCCACCCAGGTATGCCCACAATATATGATTCCTAATAATCTTTCTTCATGTTTGCTGACTATACTGATATTGAGAATTGCCTTCCAGGCCACCAGCTACCAGAAACATAATTGAGTGAGGGCCCAAGTTGTTATATTGTGAAATCCATGACTGTTTGTGCTTAGGCCACAAGTTCTCATGGGCTGCTCCTGGTCAAACACTAAGGAATCCTCTGACGGCTCATGTTGGCCTGAGGACTCCTTGTTGGCATTCCTGAACTTTCCTTAGACTACATGACACCTAATGTTCCTTCCTCCTCTCCTTCACTCCAGGTCAGACTTGAACTGTGATATGATGGCCATCACAGCCTCCCCCAGTCCCTTTTCCATTTTCTGTAAGAAGCATTTCCCTGAACGCATTCTTAATGTCTGCTTTTAGGGAGTACCTGGAATAACACAGGTAAAATCAGGAGTGTTCTGAGAAAGCAGGATGGAAAGATGAAGATTTGAGACTGTCTTGCCTACTACCTGGCAGGCCAACAGGACGGAACGAGTAAAGTCTCTGGCAGAAGGCTGCAGCTCAACTGCTGAAGGTTTTACTAGTGGTGAACTAGGAAAGTATATCTGTGGAAAGCAATGTTGTTAAAGGTAAGATAATACAGACATACATCCAGACTGTGTTCTGAAAACTATTGATGCGTTTGCATCAAGGGTATACTTGCCATAAATGAGTGTGGCAGGGAACAAAGGCAAACTTGCTCCTGGGAAACACAGACCCTTCTGGTGGCAGACTTTGGCTCAAGGATTCTCCATTGCCCTCTCCAAACCTTCCATAGACTGCACAGACAGTCCATCCAGCAAACCTTCCTTTCCTCTCTCCTTCACTTGGAATCAGACTTATATCCCAGTCTGATGGCTCTCTGGCTTTTTCCAGCAACCTCCCTATATTCTCTCCCAAGTGCTTCCTGTAACACAACACTTGGATGTTTAATCCCTTCTTGGTGTCTACTTCTGAAAAGGGCCAGGTTAACACATTGACCCTTTCTTCTGCTATCTCCAATAACTGTTAAGCCCAACCAATGAGTGTTTTCATTTCATAAATTATACTTTCCAGTTATTGAATATATGTTTGGCTCTTTTTCATAGTTTCCATTTGTCTGTTGACATTCCCCATCTATTAGTCATTATTCCAGTACTTTTCATCAATTTCCTAACAGATGAAAAAAGACCAATTTCTTATCTAGACAAACTTAAAAAAAATTTTTTTAATGAAGTTGAATGTTTTATTATTAAACTATTTATCTTCCTGCAAGGCTGTTGCTTCACCATATAAAAATAGCACCAGCAAGCACAATATATTACAAAATTAAGATAGTATTGTTCTTGATCTGACCTGAGACATCAGGTTACATAGTAATGAAGTCTTTCATTCATGCCAGTTTAGGTAAAGTTCCTATTTCTTGCTTAAGGAGCCCTGATTCATATAGTTAATAAATATAACATGTATTCATTTGTTACTACAATAGTATTTGTATAGCTAGGCCACAAAAGGTCTAGAATTTTGATCCTTTCAGTGAATTACATTTTGATCTTGAAGAAATTGTATCTCTTCTTTCTAATATATTTTAGACAAATCCAACTCCAAATTACTTTTTTCCACCAAGCGTTAATGGTGCCTTTTCTTTTTTTTTCTTTTTTTATTTTTTTAACGTTTATTTATTTTTGAGACAGAGAGAGACAGAGCATGAACGGGGGAGGGGCAGAGAGAGAGGGAAACACAGAATCAGAAGCAGGCTCCAGGCTCTGAGCCATCAGCTCAGGGCCCGACGCGGGGCTCGAACTCACGGACAGCGAGATCGTGACCTGAGCTGAAGTCGGACGCTTAACCGACTGAGCCACCCAGGCGCCCCAATGGTGCCTTTTCTATTCATGCTCCTGTTTTATGTTATATACCCTTCCTGAGTAATCTTTTTCACTGCCATTATTTCAGCAACTCCCTCTATGCTGATAAAACTAATGTCACATGTTTTGCTTAGTCCTCACCTTAGAACATTAAGAACCAGATACTCAATTGCCTTTTGGCATGAACATATCATTATTTCCCATGTACCTCAATGTTAACTTGTCAAAATGAACTTAATCACCTTTCTCACTAACCATGCTTTCTTATAACTTAACAATATTAATTAATGAACATAGAATCTACATGATCGCTAAAAGGTGATATCCTTGAATTTTGCCCTTTACCTTTACGTAAAACCAAGCCATCAAGTCCAGTTATTGATTTAGTCTCCAAATTGTTTATTAAATCTATCATCTCTTTACTACTACCATCATCTACTTTAGTAACATCCAATTTTAGTCTCAACCTCTCCCCCAAGACACTCCCCACTTATGCCACAGCTCTATTCGAATTGCAAGGCTATCTCTAAGGTGGCTTCCTATTACATAGAAATTACAAACTCTTCTTTTTTTTTAAGTTTTTTTTTTTTAAATATGAAATTTATTGTCAAATTGGTTTCCATACAACACCCAGTGCTCATCCCAACAGGTGACCTCCTCAATGCCCATCTTCCACCCTCCTCTCCCTCCCAACCTCCATCAGCCTTCAGTTTATTCTCAGTTTTTAAGAGTCTCTTATGGTTTGGCTCTCTCCCACTCTAACTTTTTTTTTTCCTTCCCCTCCCCCATGGGTTTCTGTTAAGTTTCTCAGGATCCACATAAGAGTGAAACCATATGGTATCTGTCTTTCTCTGTATGGCTTATTTCACTTAGCATAACACTCTCCAATTCCATCCATGTTGCTACAAATGGCCACATTCCATTCTTTCTCATTGCCAAGTAGTATTCCATTGTGTATATAAACCACATCTTCTTTATCCATTCGTCAGTTGATGGACATTTAGGCTCTTTCCATAATTTGGCTATTGTTGAAAGTGCTGCTATAAACCAAGTGCCCCTATGCATCAGCACTCCTGTATCCCTTGGGTAAATTCCTAGCAGTGCTATTGCTGGGTCACAGGGTAGATCTATTTTTAGTTTTTTTGAGGAACCTCCACACTGTTTTCCAGAGTAGCTGCACCAGTTTGCATTCCCACCAACAGTGCAAGAGGGTTCCCGTTTCTCCACATCCTCTCCAGCATCTGTAGTCTCCTGATTTGTTCATTTTATCCACCCTGACCAGTGTGAGGACAAACTCTTCTTGATCTCAGCTTTGCATCCCTCTCCTATTTCCCTTCCAGATACTTAGTGTCCCCTGATTTACACTGGAGCCATTGAACTTGTTCCACAATATTATTCTGTAACTTGATTTTCTACCTTGACTCATGCTGCTGTCTCTTTTGAACTCTTCCCATGCTTGTCACCTGTAACTTTTCCCCTTTCCTTACATATTAGTTCAGGCAAGAACTACTTCAGGATACTACTCCTGAATTTCTGAAACCACATTAGAGACTCTAGACTCTCATAAATGATGCACCTATTTTTGATTATTATTGTAATTATCACAGTGATCCTTTTCATTTGTCTCCCTCTCATTCATTTTTATGCTGCATTCACTATCTTGTAGGCAGGGTAAAACGATGAAAGTATAGGTATACCTTAGAGATATTGCTGGTTTGGTTCTAGACTACCACAATAAAGAAAAAAAAATCACAGTACAGTGATTCATATGAATTTTTTGGTTTCCCAATACATATAAAAGTTATATTTAGCTTATACTACAGTCTATTAAGTGTGCAATAGCATCATGTCTAAAAAATGTATATAGCTGAATCAAACAATACTCTTGTTAAAAAGTGCTAGCCATCATCTGAGCTTTCAGGGAGCCATAATCTTTCTGCTGTGGAGGGTTTTGCCTCCATGTTGATGGCTACTGTGATTAGCATCTGTTGAAGTCTGGAGTGGCTGTGGCAAAATCCTAACACGACAATGAAGTTTGCCACATTGGGTGATTCTTCATAACTGATTTCTCTGTAGCATGCTGCTGTTTGATAGCATATTGCTCACAGTAGAACTTCTTTAAAAATTGTAGTCAATCTTCTCAGACTCTTCCACTGCTTTATTAACTATGTTTATGGAATATTCTAAATGCTTTGTTGTCATTTCAACAATCTTCATAGCATCTTCACCAGGAGTAGATTCCTTCCCCCAAAACCAATTTCTTTGCTCATCCATAAGAAGCAACTTCTCATCCACTGAAATTTTATCATGAAATTGCAGCAATTCAGTCACATTTTCAGGCTCCACTCCTAATTCTAGTTACCTTGCTATTTCCACCACATCTGCAGTGACTTCCTCCATTGAAGTCTTGAACCCCTCTAACTCATCCATGAAGGTTGGAATCAACTTCTTCCAAACTCCTAGTAATGTTGATATTTTGGCCTTTTCCCATGAATCATGAATGTTCTTAATGGAATCTAGAATGGTGAATCCATTCCAGAAGGTTTTCCACTAACTTTGCCCAGATTCATCAGAGGAATCACTGTCTATGGCAGCTATGGTCTTCTGAAATGTGTTTTTGTAAATAATAAGACTTGAAAGTCAAAATTACTGCTTGCTCCCCAGGCTACAGAATGGATGTTGTGTTAGCAGGCATGAAAACCACATTCATCTCATTGTACATCTCCATAAAAGCTCTTGGGTGACCAGGTGCATTGTCAGTGAGCAGCAATATTTTGAAAGGAATCTTTTCTTCTCAGCGACTGTCTCAACAGTGGCCTTAAAATATACAGTAAACCATGTTGTAAACAGACATGCTGTCATCCAGGCTTTATTGTTCCATTTATAGAACACAGGCAGAATAGATTTTGCATAATTCTTAAGGGCCCTGGATTTTCAGAAGTGCAAAGGAGCATTGGCTTTAACTTAAAGTCACCAACTGGAGTAGCCCCTAACAGGAGAGTCAGCTTGTCCTCTGAAACTTTGAAGTCAGGTATTACTTCTCCTCTCTAGCTGTGAAAGCCCTAGTCAGCGTCTTCCAATAGAAGGCCGTTTTTCCACATTGAAAACCTGTTGTTTAGTGTAATCACCTTCAGTAAGGATCTAGCTAGCTTTCTGCAGCTTCTACATCAGCACCTGCTGCTTCCCCTTGCACTTGGATGTTATGGAGGTGGCTTCTTTCCTTAAACCTCAGGAACCAACCTCTGCTAGCTTCACACTTTTCTTCTGCAGTTTCCTCACCTCTCTCAGCCTTCCCAGAATTGAAGAGAGTTAGGGCCTGGCTCTGGATTAGGCTTTGGCTTAAGGGAATGTTGCAGCTGATTTGATCTTCTATCCAGACCGCTCAAACTTTCTCCATATCAGCAATAGAAGTGTTTCACTTTCTTATCACTGGTGTGTTCACTGGATTAGCACTTTCAATTTCCTTCAAGAACTTTTCCTTTCCATTGATAACATGGCTTACTGTTTGGTGAAAGAGCCCTCGCTTTTGGTCTATCTTTTCTTTCAACATTCTTTCCTCACTAAGCTTAATCATTTCTAGCTCTTGATTTAAAGTATGAGACATGTGGCTCTTCATTTCTCTTGAACATTTAGAGACCATTGTAGATTATTAGTTGGCTCTTGTGTCTCAGGGAATATTGTTGTGTCTTAGGGAATAGGAAGTCCTGAGGAGAGGGATAGACATGGGAAATTACAGGTAGGTTAAG